TTAAAATGGCATTTTGACATGTAAAAAATATTTTCTTTCACTATCTTGGCAACCATGAGTTTGTGTAAACCTTTCAAATGCTATTAAAATTGCTTACTTTATATATTTTTGCACAATTTTGAGATACACTAAGTAAATCTAGTAAACTAATTGTCCTCAACTAAGTTAAAACATATGTATTCCATTGAAATCAAGTAAGCAAGCATACTTAGGAAGGAAACATGAGAATATCATCACCTTATATGGTTTATTTTAGGAATTTAGAACGTAGATAAGTTGCTAAGTTCTCGATATGAAACAAAAAAAAAACAAGTTATCAATGTTAGACAAGGTGCGCAACAACTCATGACTAGAAAAGATTAAATTGTCTACTTGCTAACTTGTTTTGATAGATACAATAACTTCTTAATATACTATTTTAATTTGAATACCCGAATCACTTCTTAAGCAAAAGTAGAACCCGAAATTTTAGCTAAAGCAGCAGCTATTTTACAAGCCATCATTCTCTTATTTTTTATTCTTTTTTAAAAGCTAAAGAAAAGTAACAGTTATTCATAGAAAACAAATCAATAGTTGTTCGGCCTCTGCCATAAAATTAGAGGCATACTTCAAGTTTTATGCGACATAACTAAAAAGCTAATGAGATTTAGCGATGATGCTCTAATCATAGTACGACAAGATATGAAAAGTGAACGACTCGAGCAAATGAAAATTTGAACTAAAACAACATGCTACATGTTTATATGAGTCAATAATTCATTTAAACGACACTAATTCACTAATCTTGTCTTTCTTATTTATGAATAATTTTTCATAAAATAACAACCAAACATGTTCAAAATAGGTAGAGTCAAGATAAATGGCAAGATGCACTGATCCCTACTGTAAACAAGAAAAATAAAATTAAAAAAATTAAAACAAGTAGAACAACTTGAAACAATTCGTTATAAGACTTTACTGGAGGCTAACAAAAAAAAACTGTAGCAAGTTACAACCACTAAATCAAATCAGACTATACTTTATCAATCACACATACTTATTTAAATCATATTAAACTTGAACGAACAAAATATTCAACCAGATCGAAGAATTGCAATCTAATATTATCATAAAAAAAAAAAAACAGACCAACAGCAAAACGAACAAAACTAAAAAAAGGGTGAAGTTTTATACGAAATTAAATGTAATCCGGAGAAGGACGATTTCTAACCTTGTGTAGAGCAGCAAACTAGAGTTTTAACATCGAAAAATTTCAAATTCCAACCCTTTTATAGATTTGAGTTCGAAGCCGAAAACGGAAAGATGAAAGAAAAGAGAATTTTTCTGAAATCTAATGCTTGAAGTGTGTGTTTATCCCCCTTTTTTTTGTTCATTCTTGGATGTTCTTACTTGTTCATGGATGATTTTTTTTAGTGATTATCCTCTATTTTTACTTTTTTGTTTTTGGACGTTCCTGGATGATTTTGCTCGTTTATGGATCTCTTTTCCATTTATCCCATGATCCCTGAATGAGGACCAAAGTCCTCCTTTTATAGTCGATTTGGGCTCCAAGAATTCAAAATTTGAATTCTTGGAAACATCAGTCTTAGAGGAAACAACAAAGAAATTATGAAGGAGAAGAAAAATCTTGGAAAATCTTACTTTTACGGATTGATTGAAAAGGGTGAGTGACAGATGAGTCAAGGAACCGCCGGAATTGACATTTTTCCGGTGGTTCAAAGCCGTTTTTGACAGGGGAATGGGGATCACGTGGGGCGGTAATGTTAGCATAGGTTCTGAGGAGGAAGAGATGGGAGAGGAGCAGGGCTATGGAGAAGATTGAAGGTGGAGGTGAATTGTGATCTCTGAGAAAAATACAGAGTATAGGGCGGCAATTCTAGGAAAGAAGTAAAGCGTAGGGGCGGTGGAGTCTATTTTGGGAAGGCTAAAAAGTCTTGGTTATTTTGGGCCGTCTGATCGTTTGATCGGACGGTCAAAATTAATCAAGAGTTAAATA